CATTCCGGGGTGCAGCAGTCCATCCATTTCCAATAAGTTTTCGCAGCATTGCAAATTCTTTGCTAAGCATTCTCCTTCACTTTGAAGTAGCTGTGAAGATAAAAATATTGAGTTGAAGATCAGCCAAAGATTTTTGACATTAGCTCTGCAAGCCCAATTTCACTCCGTTTGTAACTAGGCTCCATTTAATATGATGCAATCAGGTGTTGTTGGGAGTTGGAAGATGTAATTGCTATCATTGACATGAGTTAAGAATTCGACAGATAAATTTCCAACTGATGATTTTAATGAATGATTTAAAGTTATTCCATATTTTAGTGTACACTCTTCCAATTTATTTAATTTCAAATAAGATATTACATATCATTGATGTACTGTACCCCCTTCCCTACTGTTTTATTCTGACTACTTGTAACGTCATTGCCAAGTGGAAGGATTAAAACAGGTCTTTGGCAGGATAGGAGGGTACAAAATTTATTTATTAATTATTAGACAGAGATTAGCTATAGAAGTGGACACGAAAAGTTGTGCTTCTCGATTATAAGTTAGGGAAATCTTGCAAAGTAAATCCGTTAAATGATTCATTTTAGAGAATAAGGGAAATCTTAGTACACTTTCGTTTTATGCTCTCTTGATTTTATTAAGGGGCTGATTTTATTAAGAGGCGATTCAACATTTGAAAAAAAAATTGCATTTTTAAAATATATTCTAAATGCACACACTTTAAAAGCTGAAATAATGACAACATTAAAGCTTTATTCAACTAATTTAATTATTTTAATAAAGTAAAACCCTACATAAGATTAAATTTACAAAATTTTTGCAAAAAAACCGATCAATGGTTGCTTGAGTTGCACTATTTAAAATTAACTTTTCAACATCATTTGAGAGTTTATAGAAGTTTTTATAGTTTTCGATATTTCCTCCTCTTTGTTCTAAAGCTTGCCTCAAGTTTGTTGATGAGCAAATGATGAGTTTATTTCATCTTCTGAGTCTGATTCCTCCATTTATTGATTGGAAATAACTTTGCAATTTTTGATGTCAGTAACAATATCAGGATCAGATTTTTCTCCTGATGTTTGTAGGTTATCGTCAATAGCTACGTAACATGAAAAATTCTCGTCCATATCATTTTCTTCATTGCTGAGCATTTCTTCGAAACAGTTATCAGCTCCATCACCAGTGCTTAATCCACACTTTTTAAAGCAATTTGATATTCTTTGGGTTGAAACAATGTCCCATGAGTTACGAATCAAATGCATTGATTCCAAAATCGTAAGGGATTTCGATAGTTTGTTTGCAGTTAAGAGTTCCGAAGAGCTGTCAGAGTCTATGTCACTAATGATTTTTTGAACAACCATTTTTCTATAATGAAACTGTAAATTGAAGCTTCACGTTGACTACATTTAGGAAGCTTATCATAGTTTTGCAACACTTCGAATTTATCTTTAAGACTCAAATCCTTCCTTTTCGGCATGCTGATAAAATTTAGCACCAAACGAACTTAAAAATGATATGTGCTCTAACTATAATTTACTCAAATGGCCTCGCCTAAATAATATGGAACATGCGCACAGACAGTTTTTGGAAATCTATTCATGTTCTCTGTTAAGATAGATAACAAAAGAAACTTCTCTCCCTTCTATGGTTCATTCAATAAAAAGTAAGATAAGAATTCGACCCCCTGTTGAGTGAGATAGGTTTCTCCAAACTTCATTCAAGTCAAGGAATTAACATTGATAAATTGATTTCTATGAACTCGCCGCTTACCACCCACATTTTTCCTTAACTCTTACACTATGTATATCGCAGGAAAGTGCTAACCACACCTGTTTCACAGGTTTGTGAGTAACTGTTGCTTCTTCTAAAAAAATCTTTAAACTTCGAAAAAATAAAATTTTATAAATAAGAACAAAAAAAGCTGAAATATCGCACTTTTGATTTATAGGTAGTCAAAATTTTGATTTTAAAAAGCGGCGGTGTTGATTTTATTAAAGGATGTTTTTAACATGTATTAATATTGTAACGATTCGGGTCTTGCGGATTTGATTTTATAAAGCGGCTGATTTTATTAGCGACGGGCACTGTAATTGTAATTGGTTTATTAAATAGGTCGAGCGATTCCCACAAAGAGCAAAGGAGAAAATGTCCTAATTTTAATTAACGCATGCTTGAGCCAAAAATAGATTTAAGGACAGGATGTGAATTTAAAAGTGTGAGAAAGTGTTTGATTGGAATAATAAAATAAAACAAAAGTATTTACAGAAAAGGAATAACATAAAAATATCAATCGAAGCTTTTTATGTTACATATATATATAAAAAGGAAAATTGGAAGGAAATTTCAATCTAAAAGAAAGAAAATTTTGTGATTAAATAAATATTAAACTCTGAAATTTTTTTTCAATCCTGCTTATGAATATTTCCAATAAATCATAACCATAATATATTCCCTCCAAAGTAAACTATTACAATTTAAATTAGTTAACTTTTTCAGTCAATCAATTCAAGAGTTTAATTAAGTTACTTGTAATATTTAGTACAGTTCTTAGTAGACTTGAAAATAACACCTCATCACATGTCGAGCCAACAAATAAGTGGCAACGAAAATTAAATAACCAACTAGTCACTTTTTTTTTTTACTTTTTAAAAAAAAAAATTTAATGATAAAAGTGCATAAATCCAGAAAGAAAAACAGAATTTTCATTAAAATGTCCAATGTCTCCCTTCACAATTTTGGTTCTTCAGAATCCATCCAAATGAGTGGCAAAATTCATATGGAAAGAGAGTTCATTAACAATTTATATTTCGGCTTTGAGGAGAATTCCTGCAGACTGAAAGTCTGCTGCTATGGTAACAAGCGAGAGCACATTTCTAATGGAGGAAAGAAGGTGTCGATTGGTTTACTCATGACGACCTACACTAAGATTAAGACAAAACTATTCACCCCACACCCCTATTCAAAGTGACCTTTCCTCATAACCATAGTACCCGCCACGAGGCGAGACTGGTGTCTGGAGGAGTTCTCCTGAAAGCCGCACTATAGATATTTCACTTAAAGGTATTTTGCCTCGCCAAATATTTTTAAACAATCTTTTAAGTTAGTAAATTTTTTCATTTATTTATATTGTTATTATCGGTGAAGTAACTTTTTATAAGCCATCGGTTATTAAATTTTTTTAAAGACATACAATTTAATTCAAGCAAAAAAAGTGGCTGTTGTATGACCGACCAACTCATTAGATTTGTGGAAAAAGTGGCACATCTGACTCTGCCTGCCACTGACTAGTAAATAAAAATTTTAATTTTCAGGTAACAGTTATCAGGATAAATTTCCTAATCACATGTTAGTTTATCATGTTATAATTGTTTTAATAGGTCTACATTTTAGTTCATGCAACTCATCATCAATCAAAAGAATAATTTTGGTTTTATTCATATAAAACTGAAATACGAATTGGAAGTGCAGTCAGCTTCACAACTATTCCTTTGTAATTGCATGCTTCGGAGAAGGGGAGAGTAAAAATGGGAGTAAATAAAAATTGATTTTAATTATGATAAGTATAATTTGAGTGTTTTCTTATAAGAGGATTGTTTTTGTATTTTTATAATCAATAATTAAATTTATGGATTAAATTAAGTTTTACTTATTTTTATCTGTATTTAATATTTTCTACACCAAAATTCAGGTTTTTGAGAAGGGTCAAATTAAAAAGAGAATTTAATGTCAAAATAATTCAAGAACATAATTAATTGATCACCTGTAATTCAATATATATGTTTATTTGTAAAATACGTCATATTTATAATACCTAGTAATTACCTCAAAATTTCGAGTTTTTGATAGTTGTCAAAAACTTATCAACCCAGTAACTGCATCGTATTGAAACTTATTTGAAGATTATTTCAATATTTAGTGTTGCGAAGAATATATTGCTAACTTTAGTGTTTAGAAAAATGTAATAATTTTGGTTAGGAAAAAGTATGGTGTTAAAAATAATTATATTGTAATTTATATAAATTAAAATTTTTTTGACATCTTTTATCTATTTATATAAATCTTAAAAAAATGTGTAACTTTATAATCAGTATGTTAAAGTTCAACTTTTAAGGACAGATTTCATTGATTGAACTCAAAGCAATTGAATTCCCTTGGCTAATTTGTTGTTCGTTGAATATGGTTTGAAAATGTCCATTTGAAAAAAAAAATGAAACTTATCAGAGAAATCATTATATTTTTATAATTATTGGTTTATTCCCTTTAAAAAATATATTTAAAAGGCATAATGATTAACATTTTTAGAAATAATTATCATAAAATGTTGTTATGCATATATGTATATATACACCGAAGAGCCATTACATTATGACTACCCTGCTAATAACATGTAGGACCACCTTTAGCCCACAAAACTGCTAGCACCCGCCATGGCATTGATTCCACAAGATGCTGATAGGTAGTCTGAGCTATCTGGTTCCAAGTGCTCACCAACTGGTCCTGCAATTCCCTCACATTGCGAGGGGGTGGCGTGGCAGCATGAATTTGGTTTTCCAAGTAGGACCACAAATGCTCCATTGGATTAAGGTCATTTGAATTTGGGGGCCAAGACATGACTTGAAAGTCACTGGAATGTTCCTCAAACCAATCCATGACGATTCGACCTTTATGGCATGGTTCATTATCCTGTTGATAAACACCATCCACCGCAGGTAAAACTGTTGCCATGAATGAATGAACCTGGTCTGCAACTATGTTCAAGTAGCTTACAGACGTCAGGGATTGTTCTATGAGGATTATGGGTCTTAATGTGCCCCATGAAAACATTGTTCCTGGGCGAGAAACCATGAAAACCTGGGGAGCCCATTGTTATAGATGGAGGGTGGTCATTACGTAATGGCTCTTCGGTGTATAAATATATGCATATTTTTTTAATGAATTGTTTTGATTGTTTTAAATTATTTAATGTGCGGTAATTCTAAATTATTTGTCTCATTATCTAGATGTTGGCATGGGAGAATACTGCCTAGAAAATGAACAGTGCCGAAAAGCAGATCATAATGTTATCTGCAGTAAGTGGTCACAAAGGTGTCAGTGTACAGCTGGATATGATTTAGAAACATTGGAAAATAATTCTAGTATGAAGTTATGTTTGAAAAGTAAGTTGTGGTGCAAAACTAAAAAATTATTTTAATGAAACATTTATTCATAATAATTAATGATCTAATTTAAATAACCAAATTAATGGATTCCACATTTTCAATAAAATCGTGCATGTATCAAAAATGCGTGGCTGCCAACTCTACAGGATTTTGTCTGTTGCTCCCTGTCTACTGGTTTAATGAAAATTCTCCTGGTTTTTGTACATTTTTGAATATTCCCCAAAATTTAGTAAGTTTTCTGGAAAAAAATTCTATTGAATTTTTTTTCCTCCTTATTAAGTTAAACAATAAAGTAATGTTCCAGCTAATGTAAATGTCTGAAACTTTGATTTTCGAAAGTTAATCCATCCTCCAGCAAAATGAAGTATACATACTCCTTATAATTGAGGCATTTTTCTGGTCATATCTTATTTTCATGCCTTTGGATAAAGCTTGCAGCAGGCCAGAAACCCATTTTGAAGTAGGTGCATTGCAACTTTGATCAATTTAGTACACATTTAGTAAAAGTGTTTCAGCTACTGCTACAGAATCATTATAAACAACTTTAGAAAAACATTTTTAGAATTATGCATTCATTAGTGAAAAATTGGAGACATTTATTTCCAAATTATGGGTAAATTGTTGTATACATATTTATCAGATTTTATTAGTGTCCCGATTCACACTAAATACAGCAATCTTTCAATATCCAAATTTTTATTTTATGAAATTTGATACCTACATCTGATATCAAGACTGAGTGAAAATCTAATTTTTTTTTCAAAAAAGAGAGTCCTTATAAAGTACCATTGTGTGTGAGTAAATTGTACAAAATTAATTATCCTTAATTTAGGCTGTCTCAACTTTGCTACCATTTTTGTTTCCCAGATTTTGTATAGGTAATGATAGCCAAAGTTAAATTAGTGTATAAACTTAGAAGTTCGTGACCAGATTTGAATCAGGAAATTCGTTTTTTATGAATCAGAACCATTGTAGCTTAAATCAAAAATTGGAATTTACCTCCTGCTTTATATCATTTGTTTGCCTGGATCAGTTTCCTTCTTAAAAACTTCTTAAGAATTAGCAATTTCGAATGTGCGAATTTTCAGATTTGTGTTTCCAATGCAAAAAGCATGTCTGAAGAGACCTTTAAAAACGCATAGCATTATAAAACTTTGGCTCAAAAACAGGAAAATAGTTAAGTCAACCCTTGTCTTGTTGAAATGACCCTCAAAAATTTTGAAAATAAATAAATATCCTCCTCATCTAATGACTACTTACATTGTTCCTAACTCTTCATAACATAATCTTTTTTTCTAAAAAAATGGTTATGAAATGCAAAATTGCCCTCATTATTAAAACATTAGATTTAAATGAAACCACTTTATGTGTTTTACAGCAACATAAAAGTTTATGAATATTAATCTATTGCTGTAAAAATATTATTGAATTACTGTGAATTAATTGTATTATACTGTTAAAATGAAACTTTTGAATCTTAAGTTATCAAAGATATATAAAGTTTTTAATTATGATTTTGTAGCATTTTTCTAGCTTATTCTACACTTAAAAACGCTCAAATAAAAATTTGATTAAAATTATTAATTGTTGCAAAATGTTTTCTTTCTCTCTTTTTTTTTTTTTTTTTTTTTTTTTTTTTTTTTAAATTTTATGCAAATAGTCATATTCAGTTAATAGTCAGTTTTTAGTCATATATCCTTTTATATTTCAGCTCCTATGCCTGAAGTTGATCCTTACTTCGTTCACATATTCAGTGGTTTGGATCCTGTTCATATTGTCTTAGGTTGTTTGACTGGTGGCTTAGCTTTGTTAGCTTGTTTTGCTGGCATTTTTCAACTTGTAAGGTAATTTTCGATTTAATTAAATAATAATCGTTTTGAAGCTTTGAGAAATAAAGCACTTCTTAATTTTTTTAAAATCAAGTTTATTTGATGAAAATTGGTAATAAATTATTCTAGGTTTGTTTTAAGCAGATTATTGAATTCAAGAGATTTTATCAAATCGAAATTTAGTATGAACTTGGCAGGTTTGGCTGTAAAGTTTATAATAAATTAAGAATAATTTTGTAAATCTTTAGAATATTTCAATACGTAAATATTTAGATATTCCATATAATATGAATTTCACTAATGTTAAAATGTGTATTAACAGGTAATTTTGATATTTTATAATGTAAATCGTTATTACACTAAGTCATTTAATATTAAATTGAATCTTATGTGCATTGTTCATTATGAATGATATATACTAACTTAGCATGTTTTTTTTTTTTCTTGTGGGGGTGGGAGAGTGGGATTTTTTTATGTACTCAACCATTTTACTTTTTTTAAAAAAAATTATAATTAGTCATAAGATGTCTCCTCACAATAGAGGAGTACAATTGAAAGACTTAAAAGTATCTTCTTTATGGCAAAGATTGCACCATTTCCTTTAAAAAAGAAATTACTAGTTGTTTTTGAGTATTATTTCATCCACTTTCGACTCTTAAATTACATGCTCAATCGCAGACCAATGAAACCAGTGCCTTGTTTTACCTATACATTAATTTAAGTTGAAATATTTATTAATTTACATTTTCATTTATGTAAAAATGAATTAAAATAAAACAAAATTTTGAAATTTATGAAACGCGAACTTATTTTTTATATATTTGCTTCTTCTTTTTTTAGCCATTTGTTTTAATACAACATTTCTTTCACTGTTTGACTGCTGCTGACATTTTTAAACAGCCAAAATAAGACTATATATGAATTTTTTTTTATTAAAATGTTCTTTTATCATCTGGAATGCATTACCCTTTTGCTCATTTCTATTCCATTAACTATCTAGCCATTTGATTCAAAACTGGCATTTCAATGATGGTTTTTAGAGACTATTCAAAAATCAAGGTTAGGATTAGTCAACGTCATCCCATCACTGCTATTGACAATAATTTTAAATGCGAATACATTTCAGTTATCGGAATCTGGATAATTTTCTTATCTAAGAGATAGTTTTGAGGTGGAGCTTTTTTAGTGGGTCGTGAAAACTAGAGTGGGACTTCTTTTAATTTTTTTATTAAATCTTATTTAATGAAAAACATTTTCCTCCTTTCTAATTTATATTACTGTTATTTAATGAAAATAATATGTGTTTAATAGTACTTGAAATGCTTAAATAATTAATACATTTAGTAAATGTCACATCTTTTGTCGATTTTGCAGAAAAAAATGGACTCGTCCAGGCTGTAATAATGATCAGGATTCTCAATTCTCTCCTGATCTTGGTTTCAGCACCACAAGTGCTCCTTCTCAGAGTCAGCCTTATTCCGATTCCCAATTCAGTGTTACATCTCCATGTGCAGGTAAGAAAAAAATTATCTTATACTTTTTTCTGAGTTGATCCTACACTACAGTATTGTCTTTAATCTATTAATGTATTTAAAAAAAAATTTAGTTTGTACCATAGATTTACGTATAAGTATAAAACTTACTTTTATATTGCAATATCATATTTTTGTTTTAGAGAAACTATATGGAGAATAGGAAAACATATGAACCGCATGTGTTAATGCTAACAATCAATTTTTTTAATTCTTAGGTTTATATTTATTTTCATAAAATATTTTTTTAAAAATATGTCAATTGTTAAAAAAAAATTGTTGATGGTTCATATTTCTTTTTAATTAGAAATACATTTACGTGCATAATTTTCAGAATCATTTAATAACTACTTCCTAATCCCCAGAATTAGCAGGGCTAAACATTGTCCATGCAATTCATGACCCAGAGGAAGTCGGCCACCAAAAGTGGGTTTTCTAGAATGTCCCTCTTGTCCAGTCCAAGACAGTCCAGGATATGTTGGGGGGAGGCCTGCATGTTGTGTCACCTGGAGCAGTTTGGGAAGATTTTAACACTACCCTCGAAAGAAAGAGACTTAAGGTGGCGGCTGGTAAGCACCGTCTGATCCTTGCAGTTGCACCGAATGTTGAGTGCACCTCATGGACGGGTGCTCTGGTACCAGTGATGTTTGGGGGGGTACAAGCCAGGAAACATTGTCTTCTTTTTTCTTTTTTGATGCCAGTTCCATGAAGGTGAGTGAGTTTGAACTCATCAAAGTTTCTTCTATCCCCTCCCTAACCAGAGTGTCGGCGATATCATTGCCCAGAACCCCAACATGGGGAGTTATCCACTGGAGGTGGACGACTTCACACAGTCATGAGAACAGAAGCATCAAAAAATAATAATAATGATAATTCTTTTTGGATAAAATAAAATAATTTTTTAATTAAATATGAAATNTATTTAAAAATATGCTTTAGCTTTTAATGCAAATTCTTTTTTATTTTAGTTAAGTATCCATTCTGAATAGTTTACTGAGTGGGAAAAACAACTATATTGTTGTAACTGCTTGCAGGTTAATGATTTTTTTTATATATATTTTTTTAGGTGATTTTGCTTGTTTAGATGGAAATTCAACTGCACCTCCTACTCCTGGCTCTTTAGGAGATAAAGATTACATTGTTGTAAGTTATCAATTAATTATTATTTATTTGAATAGAAATTATTATTCGCAACTAGGAATGTATAAATGAATAAAATAAAAAACTTTTTTTTCTGTAATTTATGGGTAATTTAAATTATTTTTAGTATTATATTGGAATAAAAAGGACCTTCTAAAAGGGCTGTAATTTGCACTTAAAAATATACAAAAATTCAAGTACCAATTTCTCACTTAAGCTAAAAAAAAATTTAGTATGAAAAGGAATTTTATTCGTTTTCATAAAAAATACATGTTTTTAACCAGACTATAGTCTGCTCAACGTGAACTTATAGTGAAAGTAAACAAAGCGGAGTTCTATTTTGTGCGATACCGTTGTCTGCCTGGTGCTAGAATAATGGCAAATAGCGCCTATCAGTCAAGCAAAAACTTTTATTTCTTAGAGCAAAAACTCTTATTTCTTAGAGCAAAAACTTTTATTTCTTAAAAACTTTTATTCTATTTATTTTCTTTCTTATTTATGTTATTCTTACAAATTTCTTCTCAAACTTATGTCTTTTGTGTACCCTTTCTAAATTTTTCGTAACGCTGTGTACCATTAATAAAAAAATGAGTGTATTTTTTACTATAAGCAAATTGCCCAAAAGTTAAAAATCACAACTGGCTGTTGACACTACTAATTTTTAACTGTTAACTCTGCAAAAAATATCCAATAGTAAAATACGTAATCGTAAATATTCATGGCTAGCTTTGCTTTTAAATAAACTTTTTTTGAAATTTTTGTTTGTTGCAAGATATTTTGCATAAGCAGGCGTACGCCCACTAAACTGATACTGTACCCATGGGGGTACGCGTGCCACACTTTGGGAAACACTGTCTTAAAGGGTTGTTTGTTTCGCCGTGGTGTCTTTTGCTGGTGTTTTAAGTCCTCCTAAAAAACAGCAGAAGAAATCTTGCATAAGTAAAGCTGAGAAGGAAATAATATAGAACATTTATAAAACAGAAGTGAATTCAAAACCAGATGTTCCAATCATTGATGTGGCTGACCATGCTGCTTCTGTATTGGGAATTAGCTCAGCCTCTGTTTTCAGAATTATTAAAGAATATAAAAGGGATGGTATATTACATTCACCGAAGAGGACTAAATCTCGTAAAACTTTTTTGGATGACATTGACGATTTCAACAAAAATGCTGTAAGAAGAAAAGAAAAATGCTGTAAGATTTTTTATGCCGTAACGGAATTTCGACAATAAACAAAGTTCTCAAAGCTGTGAACGATGATTCTGATTTACCAAACTTTAAAAGAACGACATTTTATTTCCTGTTAAAAAAATGAGACTTCAAACATCAGAAACCTACCTAGTTTCAGTTTTACTTTTTAATTATATAATTATTCATTATTATCCATGATTAATTATGATTAATCCATCGTTAATTCAGTAATTCTTAAAATTTTGTTCTTTTTTGCGTAGTTTAATATAATTATTTTTGTTTTCGGTACAGTTGTTAATTAATTACGAAAATTCAAATGCTACTTAAAATGAACTAATTTTGATTACTTCATTCCATTTTCAAAAACCTATTGAATTCGAAGTTTACAAACTGCTTTTTTTATAGGATAAGTGGGTATATTTTTCTTAACTAAAGATTTTGTGAGACATATAAAAAAGTTTCAAGTTTCTTTTAGTGTAATTATTTTCGTAATATTTCCCTTAGAAAAATAAAGATAACAGTTTAAAAATAGAAATAAATGAAGTTCCTTCAAATATATTTTTAAATCAATCGGTGAAACATAAAACTATTTTAAATATTATTTAACTTTTAATAAAATTTTAAAAAAAATTTTAATTGTGAAAATAAAGAGTATTTTTTTAACATATTCTTTCAATTCTGTAAGATTTTTACGATGAAATTATAAAAGTTATGTTTTGCATAGATACTTATGCAAAATATATTAAAACTAATTTAATTTTAACTTTAAAAAAAAATACATTAAAGCTATTCTCAAAATAAAGTTATGTGCTTACTGAAACAATTAGAAACATATTTTCATGTAAATATTTTAATTTTGCACTTTCTTACCTAATTTTTAGGTATCAAAAACTGAATATCGTTTTCGTTTTTCTGTAAAAGCGAAAGCTCTGTCTATTCAAACGAAATCGCCCATTCAGCGATGAAACCGTTGAAGTGACAAACATTGCCGATCAAACAGCAACCCTTATGTTTACTTCCACCATCAGTTCTTGTTGAACAGACTATAGGAGAGTTATTGCATAAATTTTCTAAATTTCTTAAATGAAGTTTATTTTGGAATAGCTTAAAGCACTATTTTAATGAGTACTAATATATTGCAGAGAGCAATAATGTTTGATTAGAAACAGGTTTAGAGCAGAAACACACTAACGTACACACAAAAAAAAGTCAGCAAAGTAAAAATTTTCCATTTAATTTATACATTAAAAATTCTGTCAGATCTGCTCTACATTGCTTCCAAATAAAAAAATATTTGGCAGTAATTCTCTGAAAAAAATCAGTTTTTTTGCAAAAATGAGATATTTGTACATTGCTTTTTTTATTCTGCATTTAAAAAAAGTCGCAATTGTTAATTGCATTTCTAAAAAAATTATTTCTGTAAGTACTCCAAATATAGAAACCTGTTCCAATTGTTAGAATTATTTTCTATTTTTAAAAATACATAAAACATGTCGAGACTTGTTTACTGTATGTTACTTTATTCTTATTGCAGACCCCACCTCCAACTTACGAAGAAGCCCTCCAACAATCAGGCTTGAGAAACACTGGCTCTACAACAACAGTTTGAAAGCTAACCTAGAGATGGGATTTGGTCAGCAACTACATTTTATAAAAGTTTAGCATCTGGTTACACTGCGCCTTAGCAGCTTGCTTGTTGATTCTGAAGTGAAAACTTTGCCAAGTACAATTTTAAATGTGATTGATTGCTTTTTATGACTGCTTTTGGCTAAAAATGACTGGATTCTGTGGATGTTTGAATCTTGCTGTTGATGATATAATTTAAATAGTACATTGTTTTAGGCTATTTAGGAATTCAGTTCATTTATTTCTTACCTATTATTTTATTTAAGTTTATTCGCTGAAGCAGAATACTTTTATTAAAATAACTTTTTATTCCTTTTTTTTTAAAAGTAATAATTGTAAATTTTAGTGTAATAGCATTTTTGCTATGTTTACTTCTTAAAGTTAGTACTGAGCATAGTAGTTTGATTTTACTACTATAAGGAGTCTTAAATATCATTTTACAATTATTTGAATAGAGAGATTTTAAACTACCTATTAAAAGTTATTTTACTTTGATATTAGTATTTGTATCAGAGATTATTTTGAATGTTTTATCGTATCTATCTTCTAAAAATGTGGCAAATGCTCATGAACTGTCACTATTGACTATAACTATTTATTTCATTGCTTATTTTAATTTTTTATACATAGTAAACATTTTTTAGATTGAAATCTTTATTAATAGATATACAAACTGTTGTTTGTGATTAGTATTGTAAAAATATTTGAAAAATAAAACTTAGCAATCTGATAATAAATGGTGCAAATATACTAATTTTCTTTAGTTAAAAAAAAAAGTTGCCCTAGTGAAAATTTCCTTTTTATTGCATAACATTTAGAAACGAAAAATATATGTTGCTTCCCAATATAAATTACTTGCACGAGTAATTATGCAAAATAATTATATTTAATATTTTGAGTACCTTTTAAAAAGAACTTTTCGTTTTTCGCAATTATTGTTTGTAAAAGTATTATTTCTTTTTCCTTGGAAGAAAAACAATTTAATTTCTACTCCTTAATATTGAAAAGTGGCTCTTGCCAAGCATACACTTTTAGTAATTCTATTTATGAGTTTATTTGTCTATTTAAATGTGGTGCTTTCATACCTAGTCATTAAAGTGCATTTTATAGAGTCCATCACTTTACATTCCTTTTTGTTTATTGATTTCTTTATATCTTTTTACACATTAATATCTTTGTTTTTATACTTTTATACTTTTCTAATCATATTAAAGAAAACTGTATTTGTGTTATGTTTTAAATTTTTGAATTATATCCTAGAAACTAATCTTAAAATGAATTTTTTATAAACTTGTTTCTATTAGATAGTGCAAGAAAATATGATTTTCAAAAAAATAATAATTGTGCTCATTTATTCACACATATATACAACCATTTATAGACAGTAAAGCACTATATTTTTCAAAATTTTTTTAGCAATAACTTAATTAAGGAGTCACAGATTCACTCCATCTTGTTCTGGTGTGATGAACTTTTGACATAAAAAGTAAAAATTTCATAAGTACAGATTTCGTAAATGTATACAAATTATTGACAAAATTTCACACTAATTTGGTTCAAGGCCTAAAAATTGAAATCTGCAGTAAAATAATACTCTAAATGCTGAATTTTCTCTAATAAATTTCTAGACATTTGACTTACACTTCTGGTATTTTTTTTTTTTTTTGTATGAATGATTTCACTAACTGTTAACAATAGTATTATTAGCTCATTTTTAAAGAAAAAAAATTTTTTTGTAGTTTATGTAGTTCTGAATTCCTAATATAAATTTTTAATTCATTTGAAGTTATTTAATTTTGATACAGAAATATAACAAAATTAATTTAAACCATCATAATATAAAATATAAACAATAATATTAAAATAATTCAAAAGGCCCATATTTCAAATTATCATACTTACTCTCTACATTGATCTACTCTCTTCTGTTTGTATGCTTTGAACTTCTCATCATTTCATTTCAGAATTCTAAACATATGTATTTACATTATAACATGTAATATGCAGAGAGATAAAATAAAAAAAAATTAACAGGCTTTTAGAGTTTTGTTTGTTTCAGATTAAAAGAAGAAGAAAAATTATATTAAATTTTAATGTTTGTGCTGTAAGTATTGTTTCTATTACTTTCGGTCTTGTGTTGAATAGTTTTAAGTAAACAAATAATGTTTAATTTAGATAAGAATTGTCATTTTCCTAATGCAGTGTGTCCTATTGGACCTTGTGCTATTAAATCCTGCATTGAATCCCTAAGGATTAGTTTCTGATTAAGATGGTTTCATTTTTACAATTCTGCATATTCAGTTATATTAGTTTTGATTCCAAGTAAGGATAGAGTACACTTTGTATCAACTTTGAATAAAGCTAAACAACATGAATGAAGCACAAAAACAGACTATTTTAATTCCATTAACAAGAGCCTTCCTCGGTGTTAAGACATTAAGTATTAGATCCTGAGGCAGGTTCTTTTCCTTTCATGTTCACTAAGAAATGTTCTCGCTGTGTTATGTTAAAGTTTATCCATTTTTGTGCCATTTCTTCTAAATTCATATTGTTTAGCGTTATGTGTGATTACCTAGATCTTTTATTAAAAATTTTTTAAATATTCTATCTGTTTCATGTTTGGTTTCTTTGGAAGTTTGTTCCTAAGAAAACTCTCATATGTGACCATAATTAAGGCCTCAATACTCTTTTATATTTGTGTTGTGTGTATTGTTCAAATTGGGTTTTTAAAATGTATAAATTTTGTAAACAATTTTTATTGGTTGAAGCCTTGCAACGTCTTATTTGTTTGTATTTATAATAATTTCAAACTTATTTATTTTAGTATATATATCGTTTTTCTTTCTTTGTTAAATTAAATTGTACTACTCTTATAATTTATACTTCAATGTTTATTTACTTGTATATTGTGTTTAATATATTGTCGAGTTCAAATCATAGATTTTTTTTACAATTTTTCATTAGTTTTATGTATATATCGCTTTTAAAATTAAGTTTCTAATTGATTGTTAAAAAGTATTTAAGCTTTTCGCAGTCTTATCTGTCTCATAGTTGAAAGGCTAAAAAACTTAAAGTTCAATATTGTGATATTTTGTTATTTGTGATATTATTTTATTGTGATATTTTTTATGTTATAATTTCTTTACATTTATAATGTAGTCTATCTAATTTCTTATGTATTGTGTTTAAAAGTATTGAGTTTTTTAAAGATGGGTTACTTTCTGATAAAAGTATAGACTTATCGGGTTAATATTAGTGTTTTCGGTTTTGTGTCATAAGTTTTTTTTTTTTTTTTAGCTATGCTGATATAAATTTATTTGAACTTTGTGCTCAAAGAATAAATAGAAGAATAATCTTATTATTTTTTTATTGAATTAAAATGTTTTGTTAAATTAACTTAATGTTTTATAATATCAATTAAAAATATCATGTGCAAATGTGAACAATGTTTTTCAAAATTGGGAAATCATTTCTTTTCTTGTTGGTCACTTCCTGAGTAATAAAACTTAGGGAATTACTTAAATCTTTCAAAAGTTATTTAAGTAATTTTTATTTAAAACATGTTGCTCAACTAGCAGGAATACAATCTTGATTTGAAAAAATTTGCTGATCTATTGGCAATATCCTTCGAATTGAAATAAATCCTATCTATCTTCTAGATTAAAATCAATGACAAATTTTTAAACTGCGTAATATTTTTTAAATTGTAAAGCTTTGAAAAAAATGTTGATCTTGAAAAAAAAAATTTTAGAAGATTTAAAATAATGGAATAAATGAATGTTTTTACGATTATGAAAATACTTTGATGTATAAAGTAAGTAGAAACATGAATAACTCTAATCTCACCAGCATATAATTTAAAGTTATCTTCACTGTAAATATTTATAAATTATTTATACAAACTGGAGAAAAAAAAAACTTTTTTTTAATCAAATAGCTTCATATTTAAAAATGTTTGATTAAGATTAAACAAAAGTGTTTTAGATTATTTTTTTTCCTTCTTTCTTTTATTTCTTTCTTATCTTATAATGTTTGAAAAATTAATCCTGTAATTTAAGTGAAAATATTTCTAAGATTAAGAACTTATTAATTTAAATTATTCTACTGGATAAAAGACTGACATTATACAATCCATTATTTTTGGTTACTTGTTTACTTTTTCTCTTTTTATTAATATCTCATTCCAGAAAAAATACTTGAGACAATTTTAGTTGTTTATATTAAGCATCAAAGCAGCATCTCTGAGCAAAACAACCGTGCTCTAACTCACATTTCATTGAAAGTTACATTTAAATTGTTTTTCTAAAATTCCTATAGATGGAACAATCAAACAAAATTTTTGAAAAGAAAAGTTTACTAAATGTTATACTTCATTTTTGGAATAAAGAAATGAATTATCCATTATTGGTATCTCTAAATTCAATACACTAAAAAAAAATTTATTTTTTTTTTTTGTTTAAAGCAATTTTTTTTAAAGTAATTTTTCTTTACATTTGAGTAATCTTTTTGAAATTTTAACTAAAAGAATTGAAGAACTTTTAAGAAAAAATAGTTTTAAAGTTTTATTTATTTAATTTTTCATTTATTTGTTAGATTTGCATAATTTACAATGATTTATTAAGGTGAATTAAAACTTTAAAAGCAATTTACAGTTTTTTCTGAATAATATAATAAAAAAGGTTTTAATTTATTATTTCATTTATTTTATATTTTTATTTGTGTTATTGAATTCCAAAAAATGTCTCTTTTTATATTAACTCTACAACTTAGAATTTATTAATTTTAAATTATTGTAGTATTTAAAAGGCTGCCGTTATGCCTATTGCATTTCTTTAATTAGAATTACGGGTATTAATAGCTTTAGTGTTGTTGCCTGTAGGGTTTGGTCTATTGCAAAGAGTTAAAAAGTATATTATTGTGACAATCGTTCTTTTTTTATTTCTTACTTCATAGAATTTAGTTATATTATTCATAAATCAGAATGTTAAACTACTGTAATGAATAGTTTTTGAATTTTACTTATAATCAGAATTGTTGATGCACAAAAGAAAGTAATTTTTATGAGTAATCACTTTTATTTGTATGATAGTTTTTGAAATCTTTGCTGGAGCATATGTTTCATTAACTCTTACAACTAATATTACTTCTGTATTATAAGATTACGGAATATAACATTTTATTGGTCTAATATTTGTCAAGAAGTTTTGTTTAAGAAAATTTGACCTTTCAAATAAAGTAATTAAAATTGTTTATATTTGTAATTTTTTTTTCTTGTGTTTTCAATTAATTCATACATCGAAAAAAATATTCAATTAAATACTCCATTTCTCAAAACTAAGTATGGATTGGGTACCGACTATTACCCAATACTTGGCTAAATTTTCATTGCCTGAATAGCCTGGTAAAATTTTTATTTTGTTACATAGTTGCTTTTACTGTTTATCAAACTTAAAACAAAAATGTTAGCATTTTCCTTATAATACTGCTTCCTCATTGTTCTGATTATAAACGAAAACCGGTTCTGAAGCGTGCAAAGAGGTTTTATTTTCCTTCAAACTCCGTTTGAACCTTTTTCCTTGCTTCAGAAATCACCTTACTTTATGAGGCTAATATAAACATTCAAACCAAAACATATAAGAGACTGATATTATGTATTCAGCTAATGAATTTCAATAATCAGCATCTAGCCAATTTTTCCATGTAACACTTGTTTGTTCTCTACACAATCGTATGATATATAGTGGACATAAAACTACTCAGACACCAGGTTTCTAAAACCCACATAGACCAATACTTTCTTAGCCATTTAAGAATGTCACTACTGGATTTAGCATGATAAATTTCACTATCCCACAAAATTTTAATTAATTTTATGAATCAAAATGAAAACATAGTAAAACGCATTTAAAACAAACAACAACAAATGCCCTCAACTGTAACTTATTGAAAAAGATAAATCAATGGTTATTGTGAGCTCTTAAATCTTATTTTTAGCATATGAAACTAATCCAGCAAAATGAATATATCAATATTTTACTGTGTTAATGCACTCATCAGTTCATTGATTTGGAAACATTTTACTATAGTTTGTGAATGAGTAATAATTTTAAATTATATTTTCTCCAAAAACGTGTTTTTAACTGGTTATATCAATACATTTGGTTTCTAGCAGGTTAATTCTTCTACTGTCGAGCAAACTATAGAAGGTTTTGATAGTTACCTTCTCCATGTAACACAAATTTGGTTTAGTTTCTTTGAAAAAGCTTTTCACAAAGAAGAGTTTGTCCCAATGCTTGATCTAAGAGAAGCCTATTTTAACTGTTTCGTTTTCAGTGCAAATGCTTGCCTCATATTGAGGTGATCTCCGAACCCAAAAAAGAGGCTTAACCAGTTCTATTACATAACGAGTTCTGGTTTGCATATGTTTCAAGAGTAGAAAAACCTGTCCACGCTCTTAAGAGCCAGTTTTTGTTTAGATTCAAAGCAAAGATGAAGATAAAATTTTCGTTTTGGCTTTACAATCAACGTGACTATATCACATAATTAAAGAGTTGACTAGTTGTCCATTTAACATGTGTCAAAATTTATGTATGAGTCGTCTGTCCATTGTTAATAGTAAAAATGTCTATCTGACCAATTGAAAAATTTAAGAAATTGTATCAGTGTAGTTTCTATTTTTCATAAATTATTTTTTAGTTATTGGTAAAGTCTTGTAAACTATGCGGAAATATTTTTAAAACTAGGCGGAAGATTTGGAAAAAAATATCCTATTAATTTTCTTCCTTGTTTTAATTACAATATTTTAATAACTATACTAAAGGTTTTTGCTAAGTTTACACCCATATTCAACTTAACAGCGATAATTAAAATGAAGTGATGTTAAGAGGCTTAACATTCTTTCAAAATTTTTCTTTATTTTGTTAAAATTTAGCTATATACATACAACTTTTACTATATACTATAGAACTATATACATACAACTTTTGACCGTATACTAAATGAAGTAGCCTAGGGAACACATTCCTTGCTTTTCTTATAGTTCTGTAAATCTTTCTGATTTTTCGAATCCAATTACGAATCTATTTCAATACAATTAAGTTAGAACTTCGTTTAACATGCTCTTTGTATGCAGCGTATTTGAGTTTTATCGAATTTTCCTCATTCCTGGAATGTTTTCAAATATCGGTATTTAAGTTGGCCATTTTTTATGCTTCACAAACTCGAGCAGCTATGAAGTTTAATAATGTTAATGTATAAACCTATGAATGGGTAGAAAGTCACGGATAATGTGCTAAAAAGATTTTCAAAGTTGGAAAAAGAGCTGTTAAATGAAGATATTTTGAAAATTTTAGATTGTGAGAAAACGTGCGGCGATTATGCAGATAATTTTGATTTTCTAGTTTTCCACATCTTTACACAGTTTGTAAGGATCTAGCTAATAAATAATGGACAAATAAATCCATTTTGAAGATTTTTCATTCACTACACCGTCAATTTATTTAAAAGATACCATATGTTCAACAGAATAACTGCAGAAAGAAATACTATGAAAAAATTTTAATATATCAAATGAATATATTAATTATAAAGTTCATCATTGGCAGATGTCTCCATAGAAAAATCTGGAGTCAATCTTTCAATAGATCGACGAGGTATGCCGTTTATACCTGTGTTTTTATTTCTAAGTAATTTTTAAAATAGTTCTTCAATAATAAATATTAGGAATTTTCATATTTGGCATAAATATTATAAAATCAGACCGAGTACCCTATTTTTACCGGATACTCGGAATCGGCCTAATTGTAGTTTTCACCGGACACCCGAATTCTACAAGCTTTAAGAATCCGGTACATACCGGCTCAAACTTTTCTGTGCAGTGTTAGGAATAAATTTCAGCTTCCTGCTATGACTGAAAGTCTAGAATGGTAATTTTAGTAATTCATAAGTTAATAACTATTAAAACTAACTTTATGCTGCAGGAAATTACTTTGATTTTTTTTCCCTTTTTAAAATGATCTGCATTAGAATTCCTAATGACAATGGTGATTAAAAGGAATGAAAAAAAGAGTTTTATACTTTCAGTTTTTATTTAATTTTTTTTTAAAAGTATTTCTGTAATTAGTTCTACTTATATCAACTAAGAATGAATTCAATGGATAAGTGAAAAAAAATTTAATAAAATATTGTATAACACCCTACGCCAAAAAATAGCAATGCAAATAATTGGCTTTATAAATGTAGCATGAATTTTAAAAAATAAAAAAAAATTTCTTTAAAAATTATAATTTTTTTGCTTAATATTTTTTCGAAATATGTTGCGTTTTATGAGCAATAAGAAAATTGAAAAAACAAAATAAGTGAAAATTTGGATCTAAGAATACGGATCAATAATTTTATATTAGAGATCGAAATGGGCTATGGATATAGTGCGTCAGCATCAGAACTCTTTATCTATGATGTGACAACATTAGGCACGCTTTTATCATTAGCGTGTTAGGATGATCATAGGAATTTTTTATGCTTGAGAACTACTGAACTCAAAACTGCATCATGAAAATTTTAAAATATAATTTTGATATTCTATATATGCGAAAAACATTATAGATGGGGCAAGCTCAGTTAATACATTCCCATACATCTGAGCACTGGGAAGGGGAAGTCTCTAGACAGAACCGATCTTCTTTCCAGATGGCGTAACTGATTGTTGCGATCGCGAATTAGAGTTTAATGAAATTTGCTTTGAACATAGGATGATATAATACAAGAGTTAATAATTATTTAACAATAATAGTGAAAAAATATGATCGTGTGTATCGAGTCATCGGAGTATGAAAAGTGTGAAAGCATCGGGACAAAAACTGTTGATAAGTAGTGCATTATTTCGTATGGCCCCCTGGATTATTTCGACAACTGATCCTATTAGTTAAGAAAAGCTGTAGTTGTAGTTGAAAAGCTGTTAGTTTGTAGCACCACGCCACTGAGTTTGAGGTCTAGAGGTCAGACAAGCTAATTCATCCGGAAAGTATTTTCACAGTCTACAAAAGCTTTGATAAAGTCTATGTGACCACGCACTGATTAAAAGTGAAGTCAGGGAAGACTGCATCTGTAAAAGTTCTCCTCGAAGTCTTAGTTCATATTTCTAAAGTATGCATAGAGCAAAGGGTATGCAGTTACACAGCCTGATGCTTTATCCTTGATGACTTTATAAATCAATATGTATATTTTTTTCTGTGATGGTCTATTTCTTGAACATTAAAGGACAGCTCCCTTTGGAATAGAGGACAATTTTCCATGGTTTATACTTTTATATGGAGAAATCCAGAGACCCACTACTTTTTCTACAATACCTGTAAAATCAACCATCATGGAAATTTTAATTTCAAGGCTTGATAACAGTGTCGAAAGTTTAGCTGGTCGAAATTTTTGATGTGTCTGCACACTGAGCTTCAGATTGACATGTGCCAGCTAATTGTCAAGGAAATTAAGGTGCTCTGTTCGCAATGCTGACCATAGTGCCACCATCATGCCTTTAATCGCGAAATTGTGGAGCTTTTACCTTAATGACCACCTTAAACGACTCATGGGTAGCTGCAGGAATGTTTTTTTTTTACTTTTCGCCATCCTATATGAGAAGTAAAAGAAGCTGACGAACATTACAGACCACATTATGTCCCTCATACCATTGGTCACCAAACTGTTCAGTCTAAGGGACCATTAATACTAAATACAAAAATTTGCCTTATGGAAATACGGAGTTGAAAATGAAATCCTGATTGGCGAAATATATTTATCATCTCATTTCCGAATTCGCTTATCCAATTTTTACGCATCCGGTGAAAACGGCCAATTGATTTCGGGCGTTGCTTGGCTGCTTAAGTTTAAGTTTTCGATGCTTAAGTTTTTGCACACCTTTGTGAACCAATGGGTCAAGGGCCCATCTCACTCATTCTCTTTTGCATCCCAAATTTGTCAATGTTGCTGTTGTAGTTAATTTACGTCGCACTAGAGCTGCACAATGGGCTGTTGACGACGGTCTGGGAAGCATCCCTGAGGATGGTCCGAAAACATGCCATCACAATTTTGATCCTCTGCAAAGGGAATGGCACCCCCGCTTCAGTAGCCCGACGACCTGCACGCGAAGTCGAGAACTTTATGGTAGAACAGTTTAACGAGGACCAATACCGCACATCGACATCCTCGGTCCCTACGCAGACTGATCCAAGTGGTCACCCACTCGCACACTGACCGCAGTGATGCTTGACGTCGGTGATCTGCTGGGAACCGTGTCCTGGCGATCAGTCAACTGCGGGATCTCAAATTTCGCATACCCGATTTTTTTGCATCCAGTTTGAATAGTTCTTAAGCAACATAGTTTTTTTTTTCATTTTTTTTTTAAATTTTCAATAAATAATTAAATGAGTGCCAAATCTAATTTTTAGGTGTTTTTGATTTTAGAAACGAACGTTTTGAAAAGTAATATAGATATAGCGGGCTGAATAATTATAGTAGATTTCTAGTCCCGCAGTGGACTGATCGTTAAGACACGGTTTCGATCAGATCACCGAAGTCAAGCATCACTAGCTGCGGTCAGTGCGCGGGTGGGTGACCCACTTGGATCAGTCTGCGTAAGGACCGAGGGTGTGCGGTATTGGTCCTCGTTAAACTGTGCTACCGTAAAGTGCTCGACTTCGCGTGCAGGTCGTTGGGCTACCGAAGCGGGGGTGCCATCCCCTCTGCAGAGGAACAAAATTGTGATGGCATGCCCATTGTGCAGCTCTAGTGCGACGTAAATGAACTACAACAAGAACAAGTAGATCTCTAATAATAAGAAAGCTAGAAGCTCAAAATTTTTGATATCCTGCTTTTCTTGAATTAGGATCTTTTTAAGCAGAAATAAGCAGCCGGACCGGAGCGAAGATATTTAAAATAAATAAATAGTTGAAAGAAGTGGCGAACATTGCCGTAAATTTGATTTTTCTCATTTGAATAGGATCATTTGAAAAATTAAATGCATACAACTTGATTTATTATCAAATATAGTCATAATGGTACCTCCGGAACCTCCTCTTCCAGTATCTATATCAAAATCATCAAAAGACTATGTAACAGCTCACAAAATTTCGCTCTTAGTTTTAATAAAAGAATTTTGCTATGTGCGACATAAATCTTTGCAAAAACGACATGGTCAAAGATCAGACGATGCATCTTGGGAACATACTAATCAGCAAAATCGAGATTTTGCGTCAACTATGTTGAAGCTTATTCAAGTAATATTGTACATATTACTATTTTAATTTTCATGTTTATATAGTACTTTTCTAATTGGATCCTATATTATGTGGGAATTATATATTTTTTGTGATTAAGAAAGTGTTACAAAAGTTATTAGGTATGCTGTGAAGTTGATGGTTTAAATTATCGTAGTAAACATAGAAAGTAGTTTTTATAAAATTGTTAACTCATTCTATTTTTCTGTTTACTTATTACAGTAAAATTTAATCGATATGAAATTGTTTTATTAATCATTTTCAAACCTGGATGTTGAGTTTAACTCAATTTTATATAAACTTGTTAAATCCAACTTTTTTCTGTATAGATTTTGTTTGTTCTGCAGTAGTTTATATGTTAAAAAATTTTAGGTTTTTAAAAATGAATCACTTAATTTTAAAGCTATGTGATTTTATAAAATTCAAATTCAGAAAATAATGAAATTCTCACTTATTAGTTCATAATCATGGCCTATTTTATTTGAAAACTTTCTTTTTTGACATGTAATAGATTAAAAAAAAATTTTTTCACAATTGAGTGCCTACTTTTTAAAATTAACCATTCGATGTTGTTTTAACATTCTGTTTCTTCCTTATTATAGAATCCAGATATGGATTTAAAACGATTGATCAACATTATTCATCCTATTATGCATCCTAAAACATATCAGTTTTTTGTCAATAGGTGGGTACAACTCTTTATAACTTCTTAAGAATTGGGATGTTTCCGCATCGGTACCTGTTCCTGCCAACTACTAGTTGTCAAGGTGGCAAAAAGATTTAAACTTGCAAAAATATAAAAAAAATTATTTTTTTAAACTGTTTTCTCCGGGAAGGCTATATATTATACCGTTTGAGTTGGTTCCCTTCTGTGATTTTATTTTTAGTTTATGACAAGTCACTGTTGGGAAGTTGTAAAATCTTGGCGATGATTTTGGTGTAGGTACCGATATGGATATCGTCCCTTTAAAATTTTCATACAAGCTCTTTTTTTTTGCAAGTATATAAATTGAATTTTGCTTGAAGCTATTACTGTTTACTTTAATTGTTTAATATCAGTTTTGCTATTACTACAAATACAAATTATTACATCTGAATGACATATATATCGATACTTCCGTGTTATAGGACTTTACGCTTAAATGTAATTGTTAGTATATGATATATGCTTAGTACATAATATACACAATGAGTTATTATTACAATTCATTATTAATTGTATTTGTATTATTGTGTTTTATTTAGTGCGATAAGAAATACTGTTGAAAAATAATTGCAGAGCAGTGATGAATATATAGTTTTTTTATTTCTACCTATGTATTTTTATTAATTTGCATTTTATTATTTACATTTTACGTGCATATTAATTGCATTTTATTAATTTGTCTGTATTTTAAATGTCTGTTTAGATATTTCTGTAACAGATTTTTTTGTTTACTTTTTTCACGTAGCTTCTTTAAAAATTTTTATCCCTAAGTGAGTTTTTTGGCTTTAAACTATTATTTTTAAGGTTTCTCATTTTTTTTCCAGTATATTTTTCTTTTATTTATGCAGATAAAAGATTATATTTTATGAAATGTTAGTTACATACAAAATTATTGTTCTGAACTCCAACTAGAAAATGATTCTGTAACGTACATGATTTGTACACATTTATCTATCCATAATCTGTTGAATGAGGAAAGCAAATTAAGATCATGAAGGGATTCTAATTAGCTTCTCAGAATTATAATTTAGCTTTCGATATAACTATAAACTGAATTTATGTTTCAGTCTTTTTTCTGTCATATACCATTTACCGACCCTGAAAATTTTTATATTCTACTTAAAAGTTAAATTCTTCTTGAGCATTTATAAAGCATTAAGCTTTATGTTTGAACTACTTTTCTTTTTTTTTTATTTTCTATGAGACAATTACTTCAAAGTTTACTTATTACTTGGCTTATTACTAGACAATTACTTCTTACTTTATGTAATAAATGGTAAATAAGGAAATCATTAAATAGTTAAATGGGAAAACAAAAAAAGAACTATCGAAAGATTATAAAAATCATCAATTCAATATTAAATGGATTTATTTTCTTTATGTGCCTTACATGTTTAATTAATTTTTATTTGTTTATTTTTTTATAGAGTTTTGGTATTGTTGCCATTTTATATTTTTGATGCACAATAAGTGAAAAAATACAATTTCACTCTAATAAGTTGGATAAAAAGAATAATATAATAGGAATAAAAAGGAGTACGTGGACAATGCAGACTATTTAATTTAATTTTTTCCAAAAATTTTTATAATTTTTTGTTTTTTAACACTGTTTACAAGCAAGCTCTGATATTTTGGTTAAACAAATGAGTAATTAAATTTCAGATCCTGTTTCGAAAGAAACAAATTAGTTTTATTTCAATTTAGATTTCTTTCCTTTCTTTTTTATTTTTTTTAAAATTTAAAATATTAAATTTTTTCTATGTTCTTTACATACGACCAGTTGAAGATGTTTTGCCTTTTGTATTCATTAATAATTGAAGTAATTCCTGTTACTCTCAGACAAAGAATTAATTAATTTATTCACAGTTGCATTTTTTCATAAAACTAATTAACTTTTTTTTTTCCTTTTAAATTTGTTTTCACTCTTCTGACCAACTATTCAATCAATTTGCAATGATTGTTTGTGGTCTCTGTAACACTGAAGTATTGATTTTTATATCTTTATGAAATCAAATTAAAATTTTTTGAGTTTATCAGTTTAATGATTTTATATCAGTTTAACGTGTTTTATAATTATTAGGTTAGAGACACTTCGAAAAAATGGGGTTGCAGCAATCATGGATTACATCGCTACCTTGGATTCTCTATTAGTGGAACCTGCACCAATGCTACCAGTTATACATAAAAGCAGTATATTAGGTATTTTATAAGATATAATTTATGTATAAAAGCAGTAAACTAGGTATTTTGTTAAACATAATTTATAAAAAAAAACTACTTTTTTTATGTATGCCAGGTATACATAAAGGTAGTATACTAAATTTTTAGTGAAATAAGAAAGTAGTATACTAGGTAGTTTATTAAATAGTTTTTTTTTATTGACATCTTCTGTTGTGTATATTTTTTACCACATTTTATTCTGTATTCTAACTGTAATTTTCTTATGCCATCAATGTTGTCTTTTTTTTTTACAACCTAAAGTTTTTTAATAGTATAATGCATTTCTTATTCTGATGGTATCATGATAATATTGCTAACAAAGACAATTTTTCCCATTTTTAGAATTTTAAATCACTGTTTAAAAATATTTGTCTTAAAAATTACAAATATTTGTAAAAAAAAAACTATTTGCTGTTATTTAGTATTGCTGATTTAGTGTTCTTTATTGTTTAAAGACATAGATTAATAATATTTGGCTTAAAAAAATATTTTCTGTTTTCAATTTGAAACTGTAGTAATATTAGTCAAGAGCAGCACATTAGGAATGTAATATAAATGTACATTTTTGATAATTTTTTTAAAACAGGTATTTTATAATTATCAAATATCCCCATGAACTCTGCTTTTTTAAAATTCTCGTAACTTTAGAAAAGTACTTCTGTTTGTTGAAAGTTTTAATTTGCCATGCAAAATCTTTTTGGAATTTTTTTTTTTTAATTAGAGAACTTTTATTGAATTTTTTTAATTATGGAATTTATTTAGTTCTACAACTTTAATAGAATGCTACTAACAAATATTTTAGAATGATGTCTCACTTAGAATTGAATCACAGAAACAGTGGTTCTTTCAAATATAGAATTTTACTTTTTTTATGTATATATATTGTTAAATTTTATAATTTTATTTATCACCTAGCATGCATTGTAAAAATTATTTTATTTGCAGATGAGAGGTTTGATACCTACATTTCAACAAGCTTAGACTTCTTCTCATTCTTAATTTTCCATATTTTATTTAATAATTTTCTGATTATTTTTATAAATATATTTCTATTGATGTTGAAAAATAAACACAACACAAAAAATATTTTATTATTACCTATAGATTTTTCATTATAGATTTTAGATTATAGATTTTTCGAAGTCTATCAAAACTTATCAACTTTAAATTTAAAGATATATAGATAAAAAACACACACGCATTTTTTTCTTCAATTCTTGTTCCTTAAGAATCATTATTAAAATGGATAAACTTTATATGAATTTAATTATTGCATTTCCTGTTTCTAAATTAAAGAAATAAGTAATGATATAAACTTTTTTACTGAATATTATTATTTTTTAATTCATACAGTTATTCATACATTAATCATTACTAAGGCCCGGATTTTGATGACATTTGCATTTTTGGACATTTTTTGTCCTTTAGGGCATTTTTTTGCATTTTTGGACATTTTTTGTCCTTTAGGGCATTTTTTCAGATTTATAGAGCATTTTTTTTAAATTTTGGGGTGTATTTTGTATTATAAAGCATTTTTTAAGGTTTTCGTTAATTTTTTCCAATTTTTATTATTTTTTGGGGTATTTTATTACATGAAATGCATGATTTGTCCTATAATTTTACATTTCATATTGTAACTCTCAAAGAATTTTTCAAAACATTTGCTAGAGCATACATTTATGCTCTAGAATGTTTCAAAATATTTGCTCCTAGTCAGCTTTGCCCCCTAAACCAGTAATCACACGATGGGGTACCTGGTTGGATGCATGCGTATACTACAGTGAAAATTTAAGATAGTGAAGTCTATCGTCAGTACTTTTGATTCAGAAGATGCTGCATCAATTTAGATAGTGCTAAACGTGTTCGCTTCTGATAAAATCGAAGGAAACTTAGCATTCATCAAGTTTAACTTTGCTATTGAGTCCTCGACAATTACAAGCCTCGAGAAACAAGAATTGGAACTTTGTGATGCAATAAATTATGTTGATGTAGTGAGTCGAGTGTTGCAACTCGCAAGGGGAAAAATAGGACAAAGTGTAGCAGCTAAATTGAATAAAGTTTTGGAGAAGAGCACTGGCTTCCAAACAATGAAGAAAATCTCTAGGATACTAACTGGTGAAGCAACAAATTTTCAAAGTGAAGAAGAATTGTCAGTAAGTGAGACAGTCTTTTTCAAGTACGCACCTATAACATCAGTAGACGTTGAAAGAAGCTTCTGCAGGAATGAAAATTTACTTTCAGACAAGAGACACTTGTTTACATTTCAAAATATCAAAAAACATTTAATAATCCAATGTAATTCTGATATTTAGTAATATTATTAGATGTAAGTTGTTATATTCATTAAAGTTTCTGTACAAAATGAAAATGTTTTGGTGTCAATATATTTTCCTCTTTTTTTTGTTATTTTAGGATATAACAAATATTTTTCAAACTTTAATGAACGTAGAACAAGTATTACATTGCTTTATAGTTTTTGAAATGACTCATAATTTTAAAGAGTAAAACATTGTTTTACTTCGATATTTTTACTTTTTACTTAAGTCACGTCATAAGGCATTTTTAGCGCAATTTTCGCATTTTTAGAGCATTTTTAAGGGCATTTTTTGCACTTTTTAAGGCCATTTTTGGCACTTTTTAAGGGCATTAGTTGAGAATTTTTAGGTCATCAAAATCCGGGCTCTAATCATTACATTATTCATTATATTATTCATTATATTATTCATTATATTATTCATTACATTATTCATATATTAATCATGCATGCATTAATCTTGTATGTCATTGTTTCTTTATTTTCTGTAGGATTATTTATTCGACATATGCTGTTAGCATTTGATAAGNAATATTATTATTTTTTAATTCATACAGTGATTCATACATTAATCATTACATTATTCATTATATTATTCATTATATTATTCATTATATTATTCATTACATTATTCATATATTAATCATGCATGCATTAATCTTGTATGTCATTGTTTCTTTATTTTCTGTAGGATTATTTATTCGACATATGCTGTTAGCATTTGATAAGCTATCGTTTAGTCTTGTCACTAAATTGTGTCATAAGTTTCATGTTTATTTCGATGCTGCATTTGCACAATGTCTTGACGACAGCACTGATATCAATTGCAGTGATTCTGCACTTGATGAAAAATTAGAAGATAGGTATGTTAATTTTTTTTTCTTTTCTTTTATCCTTGCTTAATTCCACTTATTCTGCTTCTTTAATCCTTGCTTATACTTTGCTTAATTTTGTTATTATTTTCTAGTTATCATGAGGAATGCCAGGTGTTTGCCTCCCAGAAACAAGCTGAATTTTTTATTGCACAACAAGTAATGAAACATTTTATACGATTTTGTAATTTTAGTCAAAATTGTAAACACAACAGTGTAAGATTTCATATTGTTTTTATTCACTTTTCAGGCAGCTTTATTACAAATTAATGAGAGTGCAGCATTATCTCCATTTGATTTACAGCAAAAAATTAAAGAACTTTTGAAAGGGAATCCTGAATTATATGAAGCGGTAAAAGTTTTTTTGTTTTGTTTTGTTGTTGATGAATTGATAAGTATATTACCAAGCTAATTAATAATATTACATTTATCTATAAAAATTTAGTTTTATTAGAGAGCTCGTAACTCTGTACTAGACATGTTATACTAAATTTTTTTAAACTAAATGTTTGTATGTAGCACTTAATTTCTAAACTTGTGTTGTAAGGGTTAGGGGTGATTAACACCAACAATCCTAGTATAATTTAAAATAAGCAAATAAGAAAAATAGTTGATTGAACAACTACTGTCCTGCTACCAGGTGAATTCCACTAGAACCTAGATTCACATGCTGTTGGTTATTATATTTACTGAGTTAGTTCAAGCAAAGGTGAGGGATAGAGGTTTTACTTTTTCATCCATTGGTGAAAACGAAGAAAATTAACATTTGAATTGTACTTAATGTGTCTTAAAAGTAAGGTAGAAAATTGGTTAAACAAGTCTCTTTAAGTTGTGTACGTGCAGACATAACAACTGAAAAACCTATCAATGTCATTTTCTCAATGTTTGTTCTTGTTTCCTAAAACACAGATAATCTCAAATTTTCTACTTTTAATTTACTTCGGTATAGGTCTATATTTCTTGACTTGTTTCTAATATTAATACATTTTTTAAAATCTGAAGACCTACAACTGTATCTTGTTATTTTTTCATGATTCCTTGTTAAACTAAAGAATATTTTTTGCTTGCATACACCAAAGTCAGCATTTGGCAATACTTGCAAAACTTTTTTAGACCAGTGTCTTGTATGAGTAATATGTCAATTTTGAGACAATGTAATTCAGTTCACTTTGATGTATCAAATGAACAGTCTGGATCCTTAATTTATTTAAGGCCTCTCATATTCTTGAAGCTTGGTGATCTTGGAATTTATGACTGACAGCCTCTTAATTTCTTGTATTAATGTTTAGTTTTATTTTCTTTACAGGTTTAATGTATTATTCAATTGCTTAGAAAGTTCGGTTTTCTTTCAGTATGTTTTTAAAAATATTTAAAATTGTGCTAACATCAATTCAAGTTTAAAAAACATATAAACTGCAAATAACATTCACCTGCAGTCTGCAATGCTTATGTTTGTATTTTTTCGCTTTATTATTTAGTGCTATTTGAGTTATCTTAATTCATTGAGAGTGAGAGAATATTGTGGAGCTAGAGAAAATCTTTATCATCATTTTGACCGTAATACAGCTGTTCCTCAGGAAACTAAAGCCACAACAGCTTCAGAAGATCTTAGTAGAAGTTCTCGCTATGCTGCTTTGAATCTTGCAATATTACATGCTTTATTTGACCACAAGTAAGCATTATTAGTAAAAACATTAAAAATAATGAAATTTAAGTGCAAGTTGTGGTGTCAGGAATTTAGCTAAATATAACAATCAGATATCTATTATTTTTAAGGTAACATTTTAAAAAAAATAATCCATATTGTTAAATATAGAGTCGGACTAAGATAAAAGTCACCTTTAATTTATTCTGCCATAGTGCTATTTTTATTTAATATTTTTTATAGACTCATTTTAATTTGAACTTCAAAAGAGCATCAAAAATATTGATAGTTAACCATATACCTTTACACTTAACCTTTAAACTTAAAGTTATGCACAGATGGTGCTAGAAGTTAAAATGAGTTATAAGGCTTCCTGGTTATTACTTCAGATTTATTTTTATGGACAAGCATTAAAGACATGTTATCCTATATTATTATTGTACTTGTACTGTTTTCAATATGACTTGTGCTATTCGCCATTCAATTTGTGCTATTTACTTTTAAATTTAGCTGAAAACTGAAAAAAACTTAAAATAAGTAAAATCATGACAATCTTTATACTCAATTTATGTTAAGGCATTAATTTTCTAAAATTTTAGAATTTATAAACTACAGAAAAATCATTAGAAATGGTCAAATTAGGTGTGAATTTAAATAATAAAACTTTCAAGAATATCAAACCAGTTTAGAGGACACATAAGGAAATGAATGTATTTTTTAACATTTTATAATCTTGTTAATGTTAACACTTGGCTAACTTGTCAGTCATTTGATTTTGCAAATTTTTAAGTTGCTGAAAGAATAATTTATAAATGCTTTTAAGGTGAAATAGATTTATTTGGAATGTTTAAGAAAATCAAAATATATGGTAAAATAAACTTAATTTTAATTACAGATTTGATTTTAGGATGAATGTGTTGAATTTCCCAAATTTATGAATATTATAAATTTGTAAAACTTTCTCTTTGCTCTGTTTTAAAATTATTATTATTTTGTAATCTCAAAAATTTATTATTTTTTCTCCAATTTAAGAATTTTTACTTTCGTTTCTAAGTTGCTTTCTATTCTATTGTAATCTTTATTTTTGCTGTTATGCAAGATAAAAAATTATTGCTTGATAATTAAATTTTAAAGCATATAATTAAGGGTAAAAGTATGTGCTTTTAACTGGTTCAATACAAATAAAGTTGAGAACTATTATGAAGTAAATAAATTTTTCTTGTTATGATATTTAAAAAAAAAAAGAAAAGATTTTTGAGTTATAAATTGAAAATAAAAATATGCTACATTATTTTTTGGGCGTTTGATAAATGCTGTCACTTGTAAGATTTAATAGAAATTTATGAAAAAAATGCATGTTGAAAATACACTCCCATTATTCACATCTTGTATTTTCAAAATATTCAAGTTACTCTTTTTTGATTTCATCTCATTTTTATTTATTTCACTGCTGACAAGAAATTATAAAAAAGTTCCAATCTGACGTGGCAAACTTGTGCCCCCTATGTGGGGCAAAGATTTCAACTGTACCTAAGGTATCCATAAATTGTGAAATATTGTGTACCTTAAATATTATTGCCACCTTCTTAATATATAAGTGAATGTATACATTGAAGTCAGATGCAAGATTCTTACACCGATATGCGATTTCCTTTTTTTTATATATATGACTTTCTTCTCTTTTTATTTTATTTTTGAAAGATTTATTGATTTTTTTACATTATCATTTTGAATAAAATATGACATTTTTGTATGAAACATAGATACATATATCTACTTTTCGTATGAAACATTTTTGATAGATATACTTACATGCTTAGATATACTTACATAATAGATATACTTACATACTTAGATGTGATTACAAATTTAATAAAACATTTCCATAAAATAAAAGCTTCACCTAAGCTTAAATTAATAATAAATATGAGATGAAGTAAAAAAGCTAATAATCAAATTAATTATTTAGATATATATATATATATATATATATATAGCAAATGACGAGACAGATATATGAGATAAATGAAGTACATATTTAGTTACATCATTCAGTGTTGTTAAAATTATTTAATTACAGGGATGAAGCTCTTGCAGCTTTAAATGAAGCAATTATGGTTGCCCAAGAGGTCAATGATAATGTGTGTTTACAGTATTCATTGGTAAGAAATCTTTGTAAACTATACCATATTTAAATATTATAGATTACTTATTTTAGGCTTAATTAGGAATTACTTATAAACTATTTTTAAATTTTTTTTATTTATTACTATTATTATTTAATACTACTTTCCTGTTCCTTTATTATAAATTAGGTATTTTTCTAAAAATAAAAATTACGCTAGTTGATTTTAATAATTTACTTTTCTGATCAGAAATTAAGCTGTTATGCAAAAGTTTGTGGTAATCACTCAAAATTTTTACCATTTGTGTTCTTTGTGTTGTGTTTTATATATATAAGAATTTAT